TGGGGTTGAATGCATTCCTTCTGTAGTGGTAGGATTCATTACACTTTGTGTGGGGACCTGTTGCTGTTTGTGCCCTGTGGTCTGACTTGTTTTTCTCTAATCTCTCTCTAATATCTCTAGATATTGTTTTCAGAAAATCATGGGCCTCCTAAAAAATCCAGTGATATATCTCCCATCCTGTGGATAATGTAGTTCATCTCGGATCACATCAGACACCTGTACTCCTGACAAAACCAAGAATAGAGCTCCATCCTTACATCACTACAATTTTTACCCTGTCACTTTGATGCCTTGCACACTATTAAATTTATTCATCCCTTAGTGTGGAAGGTTAACACTACCTCGCATCTTTGGATCTCATGTATTTTAAGAATTTAGTTAGGGATTTAAAGAACACAACATTTCTCTACTGTAACAAGGCAGTTTTGCCTTCAACTGTAACGAGATCAGGCCTGAGCCTGTTCAAATCTATGTAAAACATGTTACTTAAATCAGAGCAAACACTTATGGCAGGTTTTATTAATTTACTGCTTCTGACTGTTATTTTGTCCCTTACCTTAAATGGTCTTAAAAGCACTCTTTCCATCCTAAATTTACAAACATCTAAACAGCTTGAGGGAAGAAAACAGAATGTTAAGCATTTTTATAAAAAGGAAGTGATAAAAAGATATATTTTGGAAGAATAAGTTCACTAAGTGTCTATTGCCTGATAGACAATCCTAAAGAAGATAAAAATGAAAATGACATTTTAATAATTTTTTTTGGCTAAAAGCCCTTAGCCTTCAAGAATAATTATCTTGTTTTCAAGTAATTTTGTTATGTAAAGCAAAATGGGGATTAAATCAACAGAAATTTACATTTCTGTGTTAATACCAGAATTTCGATCTTATCATATGCAAGTATGTAATTTCATTGATTTATTTATAGTACTTGCTTTAGGTCATCAAAACAGTAATATTAACTGTGTCAGATTAAGAGTCTGACTGTCTTGTATTTATAAATTTGCTTATTTACTTAATTTGTAAATCCGAAATTTGAAATATTTGTGTATGCTACCTGATATACTATTTAAATGGGTTTTCTGCTATCATGTAATTAGAGAGAGACTAGATCTGCTGTGGGTTTTTAAGTCTGCATTTGTGAAGAGAGAGTGACATATCTGCAATCTTTTAATCCAGAAGAGCTTCCTTTGTAATATAAAGCTCTACTCTTGTTTTCCACTCCCTGTCTCATTTAGAGTGAAACATTATTTTAGATCCTTTGTGAATAATTCCATATTTTTTCCTGACTGTTGAGAGAATTCACTTTTTGTCCCAGCAGTCAAAGAAAGATATAATCATTGTTTTTCATAGATTAGTTGCTTAGATGCCATTTCCACTGAGATATTAGAGAATTTTTTTATATACAAGATCTTCCTGAGGAGGTGATGTCAATTGAATTTGGACCAAAAGATTGGATTTGGATTCTTTAGAAATATGTTCTTTCTCTAACTTTGCTCAAAATAAAGATTCTGGTTCATTAAAAGTTGGGGGGTTTTAATGTCTTTATGAATATTCATTTCTTTATGTAAATTTTCAGCACCAGAGGAAATGATTCTTAAGGTGAAACTAAGCTTTTAAAATGTTGGAATAATACATTCTGGGATGTTTTGTAACAGTTACGAGTGATAATAGACAGGGGAGCCTCAAGCAATTATAGCTTTTCTTATGTCCCATCTCCAGTAATACAGTAGAGAAGTTCATCATGCCTGTTAGCTATATCCTGATAGCTAGAAAAGGAAAAAGAGAATTTTAACTTTAATTGTCCTGCAGTCTGAGGGCTTTATAGGTTTTAACTTGTGTTTGGAAATAAAATAGCTAAACTTGTGGTTGAAAATTGTGTAATGGTGTTTGGTGAAGTAACTAATAAAAAAAAAAAAAGTGGTTACTTTTTTAAATTTGAAACAAAGAATTGATAGAGTTGTTGAAAGAAGTTAAGAGCCTTCAGAGTTATATGGAAATGGAGAATATAATTTTTCTCCATGCTTTCTCTTTTTGGAGCTCATATACTACCTATGCTTCAGTGATAAGAAACTAGTGACAGGAAGAAGAAAGGGAATCCACCCATGTTTAATTTGTTTTCTTTTTTGTAACTTATTTGTTTAATTATGTACTTATGAGTAAAAAAAAATATCTGGTGTTCATTGAGAAACTTAGATGAGACTCTATGGAATTGTTGAGATTGTGTTGTTAATTTCATTGCAGGGTTTTACTCCAAACTATTTGAAAATCAATGAATTACTAAGCATTTTGACTTAGTGAATTATGATAATGTATATCATAGAATCACAGAATGATCTGGGCTGGAATGAACTTTTAAGATGATCTAGTTCTAGCCCCTCCCTGCTATGAGCAGGGACACCTTCCACTTCATCAGGCTACTCACAGTCTTCCAGCCTGGCCTTGGAAGGTTTCAGGAATGGGACTGCCACAACTTTTCTCAGCAGCTTGTGCCAATCTCTCACCACTGGTACAGTGAAAAATTTCTTCATGACATCTGATCTAAACCTGCCTTCTTTCATTTCAAAGTCTTTATCCTGTCACTACATACTTTTCTCAAGAGTCCCTCTCCAGATTACTTGTAGGCCCCTTGAGGTATCAGAATTCGGCTAGAAGGTCCCTGAATCCTTCTCTTCACCAAGCTGGAAATTTATATATTATAATATATATTTAATATAAATATTGATTAAATATTTAAGATAAATATTGGTGTAAAAATCCATAGAGTTAGCCTAAATATAAGGGATTAAATGAGTACAGAAAGAACTGGAGGTATACTATCTACGTATAAGCTGAATCTTGTAGTTAGAAGAAAGTTACAAATCATTAGAGGGATGGTATTCTTGAATCACTTTTTTAAAAGAATAGTAGTGGGGTCATGCAGAGAAGAAAAAATTAACTTGAGATGGCATCTAACTAATGTGGGGCTTACAGTGTATAAATTTACTTATCAGCAATAATGGACTGGATTCCTTCCTTGTTCTATACTTTGTCTTGACAGTAATTTCCTTATTCAGAGAGGCTGATAGCTCTACTGACAGCCATTCACTGTAATGTTTATTCTTCTGCATTAGTGTGTCTACCCTAAGAACCCTATAGCTATTGTATTAGACCAAAAATGTGATCTCTATTGCATCAATACAGTTTTCTGCTTCATTGCTTTTTGTCATTTACATGTTTCAGTCACCATGTGGGAAAGTCCCTTTTTTCCAACAACATTTAATTCAATGCTGAAAATTGTAAATAATGCCTGTGTAATCAACCATACTTGTTTGAAAACCATAAAAAAGGCTTTTAGAATATTTTTGGTTGTCTTCTTTTTGAGCTCTTGGGTACACTTTTTTTTTCTTTTTTCTTTTTGAAACAAGAATGACAAATACACAGTTAAAGAAGAAACAATATTTTCGTTTTATAGAGTAAGCCAAGTCTTCAAGAAGCTTTCCACAAGTTTAACATGAAAGCTGTTTAGCAATAGCCACACAGCTTACTTCATACCTTTTTTTCTGTTTTGATTGTCTTCAAAATTGTATTTGCTTCTATTTTTGCTCCTGTTAAAACCTGCCACTTCAAAAGGTCAAAGTACTTCTAACTGCTAACAAACACTGTTTTTCATTATATGACAACTGTTAGCATTACACAATTTGCATAACACCTTTAAACTGTTTAACAGTAGCTATCTGGCTGACCTTATGCATCACTACGGCAGGGGATGCCTGTTTGATTCTTGGACTTAGATGCTAATTGTTTGTAGCTGCAGGGTCTGGGTAGTTCTCCTGAAATTTAGCTTTTATTTTTAAAGGTGTTGCAATTTCTCCAGGAGGTAAAGGAAAACACAGGTTTTACTGCTTTTAAACTGTGTGACTTTGTACTCTTGATTCAGTAAGTTATAGCATCAATGAGAGACAAAAATAGGGTTGAAAGTGAGACAGGACCGGTGTTGCAGAGGTTTGGGATTAGACCTTCAAAAGCAGCTTATTGAAGTACCAATATCAGTAGTGACATGCACTTCTAGTCACAAACTAACTTTAATTTTTGAGCTAAGGAGTTTAATTTAGAAGGGAGTATTTAAATACAAATGAATTTTTAGATGAATATTTAGATAATATAAATTCTATGTTTTCCTATTTAATCTGGTCCTTTTTATTTTGTTGTTTTATTTATTTCACTCTGAGATATATGAAATTTAACAAGATAGGACTGCTTAGTAGCTGATTGCTTAGGTAATATTTTCACAAGGAAAATGCATTGATTGGTACATATTCAGTGAGTATTGGTTGAAGGGGTGATGACAACACTATAGACAGTTGGCTACCAACAATATAAACTGAAACTTCAAAATTACCATGCTGATTGAATTCATGTCATGAATCAGGAGTTGAAAGTCAGAGGATGGCCTCTGGAAGGCCTGCTGATAAGGATTCTACTTGGTCAAGAATGCAGATTGGGAATTTAACATTATTTTAACCATATACATTTATAATAGAGGGTATTTTAAATCAGCCACCCCAATTCTGTCCTACACTTCTGAAAACATTTCTTGGTAGAAAGGAGACAGCAGGTAATGAATTTCAAAAAGATAAAAGAGAAACAGACTGTAATGTGTCACAAAAGCAGTGGATAGTGTGGCTTTCAGTTTTGAAAAATCAGATGAGGTAATCTGTTGAGACTTCACACTTTGATTGTATTGATTTGGTTAGATTCAGCTCTTTAGCTGCAGTTCCAAAAAGATCTCTCTAAGGAGAAGGAGCACCCAAGTGTGGAGGTGAAAAAATAGAATCAGCTGGAGCAGAAACATTGTCACCTCTGATCACGACTGACACAGCTGGCTCTAGTGAAAGATTTCCATGCAGTTTGTATGTTTGCAGTACCCTGTAAATTCTATTACATTGTAGATGTACATGTGTAGATTGTGGATGATGCAAGTGTTGCATTGTCACCTCACAGTCTGGCCCGTGTCTTCGGGTAAAGTCTCACAGTGGATGAAATTTTGCTGGAAAATGTGTTCCTCTTTGGTGAGAAAAACAAAGGCCCTTTGAGGCATGTGGACAGTTGTATGCTGGTGACACGATTCCTGTCTGGAACATGATTCAGGGAATGGAAGAAAGCAGTTCCTGGAGTCTCTTTGGCTGAGGATGAGGTAAGTCATGAGAGCTTTCCAAGGCTCATCACTGTTTGGTACTTCACAAGACTACCAAGGAAGAATGCCACTGAGAATTGATCTGTACTATATTTTTGGGAACCGAGCTGAGATTTTCTACTTGTTTTATGTGTTAGCAGCCCTCTGAACTCCTGTAGTAGCAATGGTGTAGCAATATTAGCCTTTAAGAACTACATTCAGAGTAGTGCTTAGAGCCTTCCTCTGCTTTATTCCTTTCCATTTCTCTTTATAAACCTCAGCCTAGTGCACAACAGAAGACTTTAGCCTAGATCTGGGAAAGCATGCTATTGAGAACTGTTTTTAAGAAAGCTGGACCAGTCAGAATCTTGAAAGGAAAAAGCCCAGAGTGGCTTTTTGTCATTGATACTATTAGCTTGCTCTGATAGTCTGTGAAATACTGCCTTCAGTATAAAATGTGTAAACAAAATCAAGCTATTGATACCTACTGGGCTTATTACTCCTACACAAGTCAAATGTTTTCTCTTGATCTGACACCCTCCATACTTTTTTTGAAAGCCACTTCTTAATCTTTGTGAGCAACTTCTCTAATGTTTGACCTTGTAGGTAAAACTGCTCTGTGATGCACCATTAACTGATTTGAAAGTGACATAAATAAAATGTTCATTGTGTAAAATTTATCTCTGTCATATCAGCAATATATACAGTGTTGCTGGTTTTGTTTTTGTTTTTTCTCAATGAATTTAAGTTACTCTGGTTGTTCTATGCTGCATACAATTTTAAAGTTTTTACACTAGGCTGTAGAAAGTATTTACAATTTCTGTTCTAAAAGTGAAATCAGAGTTACTGGAATGAGCTTTTCAGATCCTTCCTTGTTTTTATGTAAATATTGTTATTATCATATATGTTTTTTTCTTATTGCTTTTTAACATAATTTCTAAGTTTCTAAGTTTTTTTTCTTAAGACTTCTTTCTTCTGAAAGGATATCGAAAATACAGTGAGACTAGTGACAATGAAATCACTACAGTGAATATGTGTTCTGACTGAAAAAGCAGGAATTTTACTCTGACCTCTGTGTGCCTGTGGTTTCACTTGGAGCACTTCTATTACAAAGCTTTCAGTTCAAATGTGAGGGGTTATGTCTGAAGATGTGAATCCCTTGTGACCAACTAGAGTGCTTCATGTTACTTTGCTCTTTTCTCTTTACTCCCAGGATTAGCTCTTACTAATCCTTATCAGTGCTGTAGCTTGAATGCTGCAGACTGTGGGGTACCTGTAATTCAGGAGAGTATTTCTTGCAAGATGATGATATGGCTGATAATTTTCTAGAAATGTTTCAAGTGTACTTGGCAAAGTTATCTTCAGGTCATTAAGATTTATTTTTCTTTATTTTATTTTATTTAGAAAATGTTAGAATGCAAGAAAATACCAAGTGAGGCAACACAACTGTTTGAGATGGGGAAACCTGATTAGGAATCCTTTTAATAAAGTGTCTGGAAATTTTCAAGGTAGTGTCTAAATTCAAGCCTTTAAAAATGTGGCAATTTATTATCAGTAGGTTTAACTTATCTATATCCACAGGTAGGTATATACCAGATCACTAGAAATACTTTTCTTGTATTTCATTATGATATAGAATGAGAACATGGTTTCTTGTTTCAATTTCACCAACTTGAAATTTCTCTCTCTTAAATTTGTTTATTCTGATCTGAATAATGACCAGCAGAACAAAGTGTAAATGTTGTAACTTTGACCTAGCATTTTTGCTTGAACTGATCCTGGGACAAATTATTTGCAATTCCTTTCCACATGGATGAGTAGAGTATGAGATAGATTGCACCACTGCCACTCCATTGGCATTAACTGTTTTACTGCTTCTTTCTTTAGCCAAGGACCAGGTTAAGTGTTTCTTTTAAAATGTATGATACACTCGGGTCACTACAGCGATGTATAGTCTGTGATACTGATTGTGATATGCAAGGGGTATCTGTCCTACAGTACAAAGTGAAACACAGATACTGTGAAAGTTGTTGATTCTACCTGCTGTGCCTCATACTTGATTTGGCTCCCTGACCCCGAAATCCCCATATCCAAAGGCAGAAAATTAATATTTGTATGAGTAGATCCAAACCTACATCACTTTACTCCTTTTGGACAGAGATCTAGGAGAGATCCCTTCCTAACTTTAAAATCTGTTTTGCTGTATTTCATTTTGCTAGCCAGTCTAGCATTTTGTTAAGCAATTTTCTTGGCTTAACCTGAGGAAGTAGCTGAGCCCTACACATCTCAGTTTCACTACAGTAGGATGGGGGAGAGAATTGGAAGGGTGAAAGTAAGAAAATCCATGGAATGGGGTAAGGGAAATTGTAGAGGTAAAGCAAAACCTGTGCAAATGAGGAGAGCTAAGAGGGTATTCACCACTTCCTGTGGTTCAGCCATGCCCAGGAATGCCAGGCTCCATCTTGCATAGCCATGACTTGGGAACTTGCCACAACTTTGAATGTCCCCCCATGGTGCCTTCTTATCCCAGCTTTATATGCTGAATATAAAACTAAATGTCATGGAATATCACTTTGGTCAGTTGGGGTCAGCTGTCCTGTATGCATCCTGTATTTTTGTATTGTTGAATATAAATGTGCCATTGTTCAAAATGCTTGACAGACATCATCAACCACATTCTCATAACAGTAGTAATGCTGAGTAAAAGTATTATCTCTGCACTTTCTGTAGGATTTTACAGGACATTTATTGAAACTTTTATATATCTATATCTATATCTATCTATGTATCTATATATCTATCTATATATCTATATCTATCTATCTATCTATCTCTCTCTCTCTCTCTCTCTCTCTATATATATATATATATATATATGCTGGAAAATGTTAGTCATCATTCTAGACACTCTTTCAATCACTCTGTCACCATCCTATAGTTCTTTTTGAGTCTCCAAACTGTACCACTTTTACATTTTAGACGTGATCACTCTTTGATTAAATATCCCAGTTGCCAAATGCCATCATCCCTAGTGATTTATATGGATCTATCACATGCCAGAGCAGTTACTATGGTGTGGTGGTAAAGTTCTTAAGGAATCATGGTATGGATCTATAAGTTCTTGCTCCAGAAGGCTTCCTCATATGTAGAAGTTCAGGTATAAGTGAGATGTTTGGTAATGGGATCTTTGTGCTCAATAGCAAGCCACAATACACCGTGCTTGATGGCAATACATTTTTACCATTCTAGCCCTGTGAAACTTCAGCAGACCTTTGACAAAGGTCTGCTTTGTCAAATGGGATTTTTCTTAGATGCTTTTATTAGCCTGTCATAGGTATATACATGAGGAAACTGATGCCTGTTAATCCTCCCGAACCTTGCCACAAGAGACAGACCCAGAGATGATGATTAATATCTTTGGAAGAAGAGCGTCAGGCCACAGTGTCACACGTTCTCCTGTTAATGAGCTTTAAAATCCTGTGTACACTAGCACATAAGCCATACTCTCTGCAAGGGTTACACAGCATAAAAAGAAATGGAGATCAAATAACTAACATCAGAGTGCTTAAGAGAACCTGACTGCTAAAGAAACCTGGAGATGGAAAGAGACCCAAGCAACCATGAATAAAGGAGATAATTGCCTCCCTCTGTTTAAAGGTGTGGCTTCCTCTGACAGAAGATGAGGGCTTATACCTTCTACCCCATCTTTCCTTTCTCCTGAAAGGATAAAGAGGAAAGAAGAAATTGCTTTGGGACAAGGTGAAAATTAGTGCACCTCATGTAAATGACTATTTACCGTCTTCTGTGTTAATAGAATCCTGAGTTCTGTAAATGACATTTATGTATGCTATAGGACTCCTGTCCAGAGAAGACTGGAAGAGCAGACCAGTAGCTGAAAATTAAGTCCAAAGAATCCATTTCCTATGTCTTCTGTGTCCCACATGATCATGATAAAAGGAAGCTTTATGTCGTAAAATGTGATTTTTCTTTATTTTCTTTTGTCTTTGACATACACCATAAGCAGTCACTGAATCCATGTGGTACAACATTTTATAGTAAAATTTCATGGTAATTTTCTTTCTATATTTTTCCCCATGTCCACTTAAACTAAAGGAAAAAGGTGTTCTAAAGGAAAAAATCTGCCAACAAACTAATATATACTATATCTGTGTGCATTTTAGAAATAAATTAAGCTATTAAATATTTTCCTATTTACAAGCAACAGTTTTTTAAAAAAAGATTTACTAACATAAGTAACTGCAAGGATTTACAAGGGTGTAAATGCAATATTGATGGGACAATAGATAAATTTAAGACAGGTGAACAAGAACTTCTTTTTTTTTACAAGCTATGCATATTCAGGAGAGGGTAAAAGGCCTAGCTCTGGAATAGATTCTCTCAGTTGGTTAGAGTGTGGTGCTGGTAACACCAAGGTTGGAAGTTCCATCCTCATACAGCCATTCACTTAAAGGCTGGATTTAATGATCCTTTTTGGTACCTTCCAACTCAATATATTCTGTGATTTGAAATTAAATCTCTTCTAGTCCATTTAAATCAGCGTGGGCATCAAAATCATCAGCACATTTCCTCAGCTGTCCAACACTTGCTGGTGTTTGTGTTACCATATCTGGGTTTTTTACACATTCGTAATGAGGTCTTCAGATCCATGATAACCAGGCTGTTCTGTGTGCAGCCTTGGAAGCAAACCAGACCTGTCAAAGCCAACAGAAAATAAATGCAATGGCCAGCTGGCTTAGAAGGCTGTAGTTAAATCATCAAGAATGAAAACTCCCCTCAGAGGTCTTCTCTCCTCCTGAAGTGACCTTTGGTCTTCTAGCAACAGATTATCCCAATCTGAGCTGCAAGGCTTTAAATTTAGGGGATTTTTAGCATTTTATAATGAGAAAATGGACTAAACTTGTTTTATTTTTCTCTCTGAAGTGTGTCAGAACATCAGCACAGATTTTTTTTGTCATTTAACAGTCTCTTTCCAGACAAGGGAACTCTTGTTTTTGGTGTGATGAAATAGTGAAAAGATGTCCCACATGCCTTCTGCCCAGAAAATATGTGATGACAAGAGTCAGTTTTCTGAATTGTTTCATGCCAATATATTACTCTGAAAAAAAATCTTCTCTAACATGAAAAAATATTTTTTTAGCTCTTTTGCCTCCTTAACAGTTAGATGGCAAAGACAAAAGAAATATGGTGATAGGGTGGGTTTTGGTGTGTGGACTGGGATTTAAACTAGGCCTGATGGTTCTGACATCAAGGGTTGCCTGACTTTTATCTCCTCAGATTTTTTTCAGGAACTGCACTAGTTTCCAATTTTTGTCTATCAGCGTTATCTCAGTAGAATCTGGTCTCAAATTCTGTATAGTTTACACACATGCAATTACCAGAGGCAACATTGTTGCAAAATGAAGTGGGACTTCTGTTCATGGTCTATAATTTGAACATGGAGAATCTCTTTAGGAAAATTGAAAATCAGAAGTTGATTAGTTCCACTCAGCCATCTTGTACTTAGACTACAGAGTTTAGTGAAACAAAATCTGTAAGAAGAAGGGGTGGATAAAAATATTGCTGGAAAACATTGAGCCTAAGCAGAAGGTGGGATTAACAACTACAGAGAAAAAAAATAAAGGAATTGGTCCATACTAAACTGCAACTCTAACAGGAGTGTGTATGGCAGGCAGTGGGAGGCTCTGTAAGACCTTTCAGGGTAAGCAGTCAGAGATACTTTTCTTCTGTTTTCAGGTTTACCGCACAGAAGTCATGTGGTCCTCTCACTTATGTACTTGTGGTCTCATACTCTATATTTTCCCACTATCACCTATAGAGAGCTCACCGTGGCTTGCAAAGTCTATGTATATGTAACTACACTGTATTAGTGTGATGTCAGCATTCCACAGAATCACTTTTTCCAATAAATTTGTAAGCTTGAGGACATGGGAATGTTCTAGTGGGAGGTGTTTCATATTGTTTCTAAATAAATAGGGTCACAAGTGAGGAAGAAAAAAAAATCAAGAAGTTTAGAAGGTTGCAGAATACAGATTTTTTTAAGGTTTATACTTTATATAGCTAATAAAAACATAACCAGGCTTTTGCATTTGAGGTGGTTTTGTGTAATAAAATATGATGATGTTTAATAACAGGTGCCTGGAGAACAAGATAGTCAAGGAACATCACTACACAGCAGAAAAAAAAAAGGAAAAAATAGTGGTTATGAAGTTAAACTGATTTACTACAAATAATCAGAATATGTTTTCTTTTTTTCATTCATAAAGCATACAACAATGCTGGTTTCACGTTAATGGAAAACATTTAGTGAAAAATAAAACAACCCTTCAATAAACACAGTTCAAAAGCATTTTTCCTCTTTGATGTAATATAATTTTTCCATTTCTGACTTTTATGTTTTATGTTTGATCATAAATATGCTTGTCTTTTTAAAGAGTGATGAGAGAACTCTAAAAATCAGTATTAGACAGAAACTATGCAAAAGA